GGATTACTCATTTTTATAGCTTTACTGATAAATACAAAAAATTCATAGATGAAAATATAATCATGTTATCTTTACCATTTAATATGCCGGTTTAGTTTTATTTACTACATTAATTATAGAATTCATTATACTAATATTATGCTAACAAATAAAATAATAAATATAATATAATTTAAATTTCTACAAATATAACATTATTAGTGAACAATTTATGTACCTATTTGTTAAATAATTATATACACAGATTTGTAGGCCATATCATGCCCAATCAAGATTCAACACACGCCTCGAATTTCTATTGAGTTAAAGTGAGAAATATATTATGATACACACCCTTCAAAATTATGTATACCATATGCACATTATAATTAAATAAGAAAATTGCATAATTTAATATTTTTTAAGTCCTAACTAAAAAATTGTCATAAATAAACACAATATTCACTACAAGAAATGTCACTTTTGGCTACCAAAATATTGGTCGCCAAAAGTCACATATTTAGTCGCCGAAACGATTTAGCGACCATAATATTTTGTCGCTAAGCTTGTCGCCTTTACCCTGTCGGCGATAGTATTGGCGACTAAAAAAATAAAGTGACCACCTTTGGCTACTAACTTGTGTTTAGTCGGCAAAAGGTATGTTTTTCGCCACTAATGTATTAGTCGTCGAATGACTACATTTGGCTACTAACTTTTTTTTAGTCGGCAAAAGGTATCACTTTTAGCTACTAAATTATTAGTCGCCGAAAGTACACATTTGGCTACTAGCTTGTATTTAGTCGGCAAAAGGTATGTTTCCACCACTAAAAAATTAGTCACTAAAAGTGCTACCATAATTTGAGAATAACTATTATAGACCAAAATATTTGGTGGCCAAATAATTTGAGAATAACTATTACGTATTTGGCTACCAAAATATTTGGTAGCCAAATACTTTAACGTGCTTTTTTTTTTTTTTTTTTAAAATAAAATTTTCTATAAACAACCTGTACAAATTAATCCATCACTAAATCTATTATTAATACAACCTGTACCCTGTATAAATAATATAATCCATTAACGGTAAATATGTTATCAAGCATTCAACAACGTGCACACATTTCAGTTCCAACCATCCAAAAAATTAATATTAAACGTCCACTTATATATATATATATTACAAATTTCATAAGAACCATGTCTAATCCCACGTCAAGAATTTAATTCCATACATAATACTGGAATAACGAAATTAATTGTACACCTATAACTTCTGTACCACAACAAAAATTATATTCTATACTGCCACAAAACTATTTTGTACCACGTGCTATGTTAATTTCTACCAAATTAGCTGATATTTACTCTACCAAAAAAATATTTTGTACAAACCACTATATAAAAACATATCCACTTTTGTACCACAATGTCCTCACGTACTTGTCAACAAAAACATATCCACTTTTGTATGTCCAAAAACATCTGCAAAAAAGGGGAAAAAAAATCATTAGTTCGGTACGTGTAGAGGCACTTCTGGACGACATATATATATCGTAATAATTTCTAACATTAAAGTGACGAGGGGAGTAATATCTATTAACTAATGCAAGACATCCAAACATGGACCCATAATAAGGTGGCAACAACAACATGTGTGCACACACACAAGTGATACCTGAGAGTTCTCAGAGATCCACACACCCACACACCTTAATCAACTAGACCGAAGCGTACAAGACTCTTCATCAATAAGTTCAATTATGTCAGCATTTTTGATTCAAATGAGTCGCACAGAACAATTTTAATTCATTGCATTAACAATATTACAAACATCTTAGCTAAGATCTGTTCTGCAGATAGCACAAGGAACAGTCCAGAATATACCCAACAATGGTGATCAAATCCATCCACACATTTATCACAACTTCTGCAGTGTTTGCTGAACTTGCGCACCTGCAGCATGAAATGCATCTAGTGTAAATTAAAAAGGCCAGGATAGACATATTCTTGAAACACAACTAATAAGGCTTTGAGGTGAAGCAGGTGAGAGGGTAAAGCAGTAGATGGATGCTGGCAATGCAGGTTATAGCCTTCAATGTCATAGTTGAGTGGAGGCAAAGTTGGTATTGATTAGATGCCATTATTACATTGATCATAAAGCTTGGTATGGCAGCCTATGTGGCCAAACACCACCCTTACAGAATAGCTCAAATCGCATCATAACTTCTGCACAAGTACATAATATTAATTGCATATTTTAACAAAATCAAGTTTTGCCCAATATTGACATGTTAGTATTCAACATAAAATGTTATTTGTCAAGGACCAATCTGGCCAAGCTGCCTTCTAGTATTCTAATCAAACCTTAATCTGCATATCTATACATCCATATGACAGACTCCAAACCTTAGGGTCTGGATGCAACAAGCAGATAAGGCAATGTGACCAACACTTTAGTTAGTATATAGATAATTAGTGAGCCTAGCATGATATCTTAATTTTAGGATTATAATAAACTCGCTCAAATCGCATCATAACTTCTGCACAAGTACATAATATTAATTGCATATTTTAACAAAATCAAGTTTTGCCCAATATTGACATGTTAGTATTCAACATAAAATGTTATTTGTCAAGGATCAATCTGGCCAAGCTGCCTTCTAGTATTCTAGTCAAACCTTAATCTACATATCTATACATCCATATAACAGACTCCAGACCTTAGGGTCTGGATGCAACAAGAAGATAAGGCAATGTGACCAACACTTTAGTTAGTATATAGATAATTAGTGAGCCTAGCATGATATCTTAATTTTAGGATTATAATAAACTCAAACCAGTAAACCCTCCAGCAGAGCGAAAAATTTTTGGATTCTATAATTACTCAAGGATTCAACCCGTGTTCTTCCATGAAACACAAAAATACATGTACTTCATTCTAAATAATCCAGTGGCTTCAATATCAGTTAATATCTCTCACAAGAATACACGTACTTCATTCTTTTTATAATTTATGCCGTCACTGCGCCAAGACACAGCATTTGTCACAGCCATAGGTGGCCTCTGTGTCACTTCCATCCTATAAGCATCGGTCTTAATAAATTCACTTAGAATCTTTGCTTCAGTGTATTGAGGGTAGCCAAAGTCCATCATCTCATCAAGTAGTTCGTACTACCAAATGAAAAAGCATCAGTAAAGCTTCTTCCAAACAATTATTAGTATCACAATCAAAACAAAAGACCTTGATAGAAAAAAGAATTGATAAATTAACTTACCACTACAACAAAGTTATGTCTAAGTGGTTCCTCTTCTAACTCTTCAAAATAATGCTTAAAGACCTGCCAACCAAAACATGTATAATTAAATTTGCAAAACTGATTCATCAAAGAAGTTAATGATTTTTTGTCCTCTCAAAGCATCTACAGGCAGACAGCACCAAAACAGACTTGGTCAACATTTGTCCTCTCGCTTTTATCTAAAAAATGCTACTAAAAAATAATTAACAAACCAACCCCTTCATATCAACCCCAATCAATTGATACAAAAATATCCAAACCATTTAGCCAATTACCCACAGTGATGCATTGGCAGAGTTACCAGCATAAAAATTCCCATTAATCCAAAACAAATGAACACAGATGAGATGATCTTAAAAAAAAATTGAGCTTTCGAAGCAAATTCAGTATCAAAGGAACATCAACTACAGTTTCTATCACTGGCATAGCAATTCAAATCAATCATAAACATTCATGCACACAGTTACATGTAAGTACAGAGAGAGAGAGAGAGAGCGAGCGAGAGAGAGAGAGAGAGAGAGAGAGAGGAGACCTTGGGGCAGCATTTGCCGCAGTTGGAGCAACGGATGA